ACCTTCATTTTTCGTAAAATCGTTTTTTTTTTGGCTGCGCGGCTTGAAAAATCCTTTCAAATCGACCATCCGTCGTGTATTAGCATATGTACTTTACTTACAGAAAAGGACTTTTCAAACCATCCGTAGTGTATTAGCATATGTACTTTACTTACAAAAAAGGACTTTTCATTCTACACAGCTAAAAAAAAGTTAAGTGTGTTTGAAAAAAATAGGTAAAACAGACCACTTTAAGACCCCCTTAAATAACGTATCATTTGTGACAGAATTCCAGATGAAAATTAATAAAACATTCGAAGGATCTTTTACACGTGTGTTTGTTTTATAATTTTTTAAACATTTTTTTCGTATTACACGATACAAAATTATAAAAGAAGAATTCTATTTAAAATTCTGTCTAAGACGGGCTTCAGGCTATAAGTAGAATTACGATTACTAAATAGAACAGAAAAAATAGATACGTAAAAATTAGTTAAGCCAGATTATCAGTACAATCAAACCAACTTTTTGTCTTAATTCGCATTTGTTCTTTTCATTGCATCCTACAGCTAAGGTGATTGTACTAAGTATTCACTAAAAGTCAACGCGATAAAACGGTCCAACGTGATTATCGTTCAAGCGATTCGTATGGAAAGCATGCAGCGAAGATCCGTGCGCAGAGTCGAGCCTGTAAGCGAGTCGCATGCGACAGATTAGTGATCGTATCATAGTCGAATTGGGTAGCGCTGACTCGGATTCGGGTCAGTGGAAGCGCAAACAGGCGGAAAAAAAAAAGAATTCGCACAATCAGCGAGTTAGCGTTCGTACAAGCGTGCCAGCAGAGCCAAAATGTCGAACGCAGAAGAAGAGATTGGCAGCTCGGCGCGGCGTTAAAGTTTCCGACGCCGAGTCGTCGGTTGGAGTGAAGCAGCAGCGCGACCAATTTTCGCGTTGCAATACGCGTCAGGTTTGCCGCTGAAAAAGAGGCTGCTCAGGCCGTGCATGTAGTGTCGCTCGTTTCTGACAGCAGCTCTCGGCGGCGACATCGAGACTGTTCTTTGGTATTAAAAAAAAAATCAAAGAAGTAGAAAATTCGGGACGAAACGTGTACTCGGCGGAAAACTCGTCGGCGGCTCGAGACCGCCCCTTTTCCGGCTCCGGCGAACGTTCCCGACGATATTCAACCCTCTGTCTACCGCAGACCCATTAAGCCCGCATCTTTGGAAATGTCATTTTTCACAGGATTTATGCAGGGTGAAATATAAGTCAAATATTTTTGATAAATAAAATACTGTAAAATTGGATAACTTTCTATTTTTATAAGACGCGCTGAAAGAATTGGAAATTGAAGGAAAGTACAATTTATATTCGTTATCTTGTTCGTTAACTTTGAGATAACGTTCAGATATCGCGTAATATCATGAATTACTTTTAGCCAGCGTTATCTCGAAATCAACAATATGATGTGCGTGCTTTCATCAAATTTTCATTCACCGTTGTCTTATAAAAATAGAATCGTCCAATTCTATGACATTTCACTCATCACAGATGATTATATTTTATCCCCGACGTACTCTAAATCGCAAAGTAAATTTTTTACTCTCATCTTACAAAAAAAAATTAAAAAAAAAAATTACTCTATATTCGACTTTAAAAAATAAACAGCGTTTCCGGAAATAGATTCATTACGACGGACAGCCGGTAGACTAAGGATCGATGCTGTCGATGTGGAACAGATTTTCCATACCCCAGTTATTTCGGATATCACCAGCCTTCCCCGGATTTCGACTGTGATATCCGGGACAACCGAGTGATCAACTATTGACAGCGGCACTGATGAAATTTCCGGCGTTCCGACTGGAGTTCGGCCGCGATTCGCGCGCATACACCTAGTGCAACGACTAGAAAAGAGTAACATGTATATATAATTCAAGCTCAAACGATCAGATCGCAGCGTGTATTAGTCATTGGTTGAGTGAGAAAGATTTGCTAAGTGTGTCTAGAAAGATAAGCATTCGGCATTCTCAACATCTGGAAAAAAAAGAAACTTTCCTCTATAAGGTAAAACTTGCTTGTGCTCTATGCTAGTCAAACTAGATTCCTAGAGTCGGATGTTTGTCTACCAGCGCAGAGTGTCTACTAAAAGATTCATGATAAAGCCTCTTCAAGGGATAGAAGTTTTACTGAATTGAATATCTCGAAAGAAGCGGATTAAAGTTCAATTCGAACCGACTTAGACCCAACTTTCATAAGTCTTGTTCGACTGAAAATGCCTCCGAATCCGAAATCGATGTTACTCCGATTTCTACTTTATAATTCAAATCCAAAACGCACTTTCGGTCGAACGCGAATTTGTGCAGATTGGACTTAAGTCGCCCCGGATTTGAATCAATCGGAAATTATAATATTGGAGGGTGTAGCGGCCTCGCCTTTCGATTCTAATTCTCGTCTACGGACTAAGGCGCATGCGATGTCACGCTGAAATTAAATGCTTCGTGAAAAATAGAGAAGATAATGATATACCGCGACTCAGAGACAGTAGACACTCTGTTTTGTACTGTTACGGTGTGTATTAGGTGTTGTCGTGTGTACACATTGCGGTCAAAGTTGGGATCGCGCAACAGCTGTCCCAGAATAGTTATTGCTGCATCATTTGGAGCACGTGCGGACAAGCCTGGGACGGCTGGCTGCTCCCAACTCGACTCACAGAACACATTCATTGTGTGTGTATGGGATGTCTACTCGACCTTGGGGGGGAAAAAAATCTCTTCATTTTTCAGGCAATTTAGATGAAAAGGTAAAAGTACACATAAATTTGAAATAAAATTATACGTAGTACAAAGTTTCTTAGTATTTGCTGCTCATATTCGCGAAGAAAGAGGTTTCAAAACCATTCAAATATTAAAAATTGAAAAATGTAAAAATAAGTGGCTAATCGATTGATCGAAACAATATAAAAGCAAAGTCGAGAAATTCAACACTTTTAACAAAATTCCGGAATTCTAACCGAATTTCTTAAGAGTTTCTTAGTTTAATGAGATTCTCCCCGGTGAGTACACATCCCGGTGTATGTATATGTGAGATTAAACATCATCAGAACAGTCAAGCGTTGCAAAGAAAGTACATCATATGTGCTTATTATTCTTAAGACGGATTTTATCCTTCTAACAAAACAGTATTATTTCATTGCCGCACAATCACGATTGATTAACCCTTAGTTTGACATTCTACTAAGCCTTTCTTCTAACCTAAAATCTCAGATCGTTAGTGTCAGGCAGCATTAACGCTCGCGCATGCATCCGGAATCGAATTTGCGTTTCCGGTTGTTACTTCGAGTCTCTATTCGCCAAACGAAGGATTAATCACGTTTGATCTGCTCTGACGGGCGTATCTGTGTGATGTGAAAGTATACGCGCGTATATGTGTGTGTGTGTGTGTGTGAGGTAAGTGTGGATGCGACAATGGTGGAGTGAGAAACGTGTATGTGACTTGGTTCTCGGTACGGAATGTGAGTGCAGTGGGTTTCGCTATATAGGTTTCTTGTTGGTTTCTTTTTTCGTTAGGTGGGTAATTGGAAGACCCACCTTCGGTTGACAAGATTGTCTCTGTAAGGATCGCGTGGCTGCCGTTTCATAATGTCCGACTCCGGTGCCTCGTAGGCTAGCGAGATGGCCGGCACCTGCCATCCACCATTGATTAGAAAAGTGTACTAACTACCCCGCCCCACCGCATTACAAAGATGTTATATGCAAGAGGTACAATGGTAATTTCAAGTACACACACTCTCTCTCGCGCGAAGGATGGTGCGTGTACGCGCAGTGCGAGCGAAAGAGACAAGAGACTTCTTGGAGATCGCACAAGTTTCAATTCAGCGTTTTCGGACGCATCGGCAAGATGTCGGACGAGGAGTGGCGGCCGGCGCGATCGCCTCCTCGCGCGATTCTTTCGAATCCTCGCATGGAGGCTGTCCTAAACGCAGCCTGTATCAAAAACGGATTTCGGTTTCTGCGTTACAATTGCGTTAAGAAAAAACAGTGCCGTAAAATATTGAGTTAGAAAATTGTGGCGGAAAAAAGTGGCGATCGAGGTGTAGCAAGGAGAGACCTTGGAATACGATAGCCGAGCACTTGGCGGGTGTAAATCTGTGCGTTGGATGTAGCGCTGCGTTTGGACAGACGGTAACCAGAATCGGCGCCCGGCGAAAGAGGGAAATCGCTTGTGCCGTATCTGAAGCGGGTGAAAAAAGGTCATCAAAGATCATTAGCACGCGTAGAACGTGAAACCTCCTTTTTCCACTCCGACGTCCTCTTGCTGCGATTCTCCAATTTTTTTTTTTTTACCACCGCCTCTCGCAATCTCGATTCGATCAATTTTCGTCCTCGAGCGGCGCTCGGGAGGATCAGAGTGTGTCGGACGTTACAACAACTTCGCGTCCGTCAATTTTAAATTCAATTTTGATTAAAAAAGTTCTGCAGGACCAAGCAAAGGCTTTTCGGGACTCTAGTATCATCACAAAGCCGAATTAAACGAGATGAATTTGCGCGTTGTCGAACACTTCTGAGACGCGGGTGAGAAAGATCCCATCTCTTTCGTGCACTACGATCTCAAGCATCCGTTTTTCGTTAACGTTGTGGCGCAACCCCCTGATGCGCGCGGTCGTATCCTCGCGAAAGGCACATCATTACGTCAACGAGTCATGTAGCATGATTTTCAAAAGAAGTCGCGATCGCGCACAAGGGGGGCCGCCACGGCAATTTTGCCAACACGCTCTTCCGATTAATATATGCATATGAAAAAAACCCCGCCTCGTTTAAACCCTCGTTTAGCAATTGTTTTATTTTTTTTTTTCGTCCTATGTAAAAATCAGTCAGTTTTCAGCGCCCATTAGAAAGTTGCCAGTCGCAGAGTGGGTAGAAGGCAGCGGCAGTAGGCAGCGCATTACAGAATAAAACGTGAGAGGACTGTAAAGAATAAAAAACTGCAAGAAAAAGTTTCATGACGCTCAAAAATGTACAAGAGTGTTCTTTCTCGTTTTTTGGCGGTGATATATGGTGGCGAGTAACAAACAGTATAGTAAATAGTAAGTAATAGTAATAGTAGTAATATAGAGGTAATAGTAGCAGCGCGGCAGCTGTGATTACAATAGATAAAACAGTAATGGCAGTAAAAATTCAGTAACTATAAGTAACGAGATGCTGGCTTGGTGGTTGTAATAATAATAATGATAATAATCAGACTAATGTAAGTAAGACGAGGACAAGAGTAATGATGATAATTACTGAGCATCAAAGATCAATATAAATATATATATATATATATATATATATATATATATATTTATATACATGTCTATATACATAATATATGCTACTCCCGCAAGAAGGCCGCCACAACTCAAAAAGATGCGCAGGCTTTTCTGCAGCTCTCTCGCTTTCGCAACTGCGAGACTACATCGGGTGAAAATCTCTTTCGGATCTAAGTGAAAGTAGATTGAAAAGTATTAGGCGAAGAAGTGTGACATGCTGCTGAACTACCCTAAGAGATCTCGTTTGCGTTGTCTCTCTTATTTCTCTCGGCGACATCTCGGCTTTCTGATTTGCGGTAATGTTCTTCCAGGAGTGCGATATATGTGTAAGGTCAAATTAGAATTTAACTAGCTGACTTAAGACTTAAGTTTCGTCGACGTCAATGCGAGACATGTTGTTAGTTTCCCCGTGAAGCGACGCTTCGCAATTGCGCCCGGAAAAGCGTGTGTCTTCGTTCCCTATTTTCCGCCTCCCCCCGCCCAAGCAATCTTGGTCGACGAAACTTGCTCTTCGCAGAAATTACAAAATGGCTAAGAACGATCGTTGCTCAATCGACGAATGAGAGAGGAAGAAAATGAATCGCTTGATGCAGACTCTAATGCATAGCTTTCTCTCGTCCAAGAAAAAATCTGGCAAACTCTACGAAGGAAAAAAGAGAGAGTGAGAGAGAGAGAGAGAGAGAGAGAAGAGAGAGAGAGAGAGAGG